TGGACATTGTTTCTGAATGTCTGGATTTTGTTGTTTTCCTTTAAAGAATGTAGAATTTTTATTTTGTAAGCATTTAAATTACTTGTAGATCAGCTTGATTTTTTTTAGTCTTGCTTTTAAGTATTGTTGGGGTGGATCTATATTACCTTTTATTACGGAGCTATTTTAGTGCCACTATTTAGTCATAAAACTTCCTGGGTCTCTGTTGAAAGCCTATTGTAGTTAACAAGGTCTCTCCTATTTCATTGGTCAGAACTTGAATACCTCCCTACCCTGAGTGAGCTCTGAGAATTGTTTAGCCTACATCTTGTGGTAGGTAGAATTTTATCATGACCTCAAAGACACTCACCTTTGTATAGTTGCTTCCCATTAAGTTTGGGAGGAACCTCTGAATATGATCATTCCTGTGATTACATTACTTTATATGGCAAAAGGAAGGTTATCCAAGGTGGGCCTGACTTCATCTGGTTAGCCCTTTAAAGAAAGAGATTTCTCTGGCTGGTTACAGAATAAAAAGTCTAATATCTGAAAAAGTTGACTCATATATTTAGTCCAAATATCTAGTTGTTTATAGTGGGAAGGCAAGTGTGGTACCAGTTACTATCCCATGGAGTTTTTAAGTGAACAGTGGTAGTGAATTCACTTGCTTTGGAAGGTATTACAATAGCTTTAACTGGCACCTTCTTTCTTGGGCATATCCACCATCAAGTTTACTTGTTTCCCAGGCTGAATAAACAAATCAATGGTATCCAGATATTTATGCTTCATCATTACCAATATTCTATTTCCTTTGCCTGTAAATAAAAATCCTGCAGAATTTTTACGTATAATGAAATGTCTAGGCTTCTTGAGCTTACCAAATACTGCATTGATTAGCCAATCTTTAAAACTAGGGGATACTGATTTGGAAGGAAAGGATTTGAAAGAGACTATCTAACTATTATATATCCCCAAAGTATAAAAACTACTCTTTTTTAACTTTTATTAAGTTATTTAGAAATATTTCATATTAATGAAGTACAGAGAGCATAATACAATAAACTTTAATATGCCCATAACCAACTTAAGAACTAAAATAGTATCACTACAATTGAAGCCCTTGTGTCCTTCCCCCAGTCTCTCTCCAGAGGTACCTGAAAGCAGTATTATTAATTCCCATGCATTTCTTCATATTTTACTTTATATACCTGCATTCTTAAATTTATCTTTGCATTTTTTGAAATTTATTTTAATGATGTCAAAAATACCATTCTTTTCTGGTTTCCTTTTTTTGGTTTAATGTTTTGTTGTGAAAGTTAAAATTGTATATGTGCTTAGAATTCCATTGTATGAATATAGCACAATTATTTATACAGCCAACTATTAAGAAACATATAGACTGTTTCAACTTTTTTGAAGCCATGGATGCTGAAACGAATTTTCAGTAGATGTGACTAGTATACACGTGTAGTGGCAGCTTTTCGCTCCGAGGTTCAGTGGTGAAGGAATAATTACTCGAAACACATAGTGTTTAGAAAGAAGGGGAGAGACAAAAGTCTAAAGGTGAAAATGGCCTCCTCAGCTAAGGCCTTTCTTGTGTTTACTACCAAGGATACGTTTAAGAAGTCAGGGAGTAAACAAGGATGCGGAAACTTAAGCAAGCATAGCTCTTTGCCGGTAAGGAACAAGATATATAGATATCAACTAATAATTCTCAGAACAAAGAACTTAGCTGGAGGACAAAGGTCTGGGCCATTTGCTAACTTCTTTAACGACATCCATACACGTCAGCTGTTTTCAGCTGACCTTTGCACACAGCAGACAAGCAGCTTCGGGTAGGCATTATTGCCTGTCCCTTCATTCACTCTGCTCACATTCTTTCCATCCATCCATCCTCTCTTCTAGACCTCGCCCCCACAATACATATATGAATTTCTGTAGGGAATACCCTTTATAGTTAAGTCACTAAGTAAATAGAGTATATACATTTTTAAATTACTACAGACCACTGACAACTTGCAATGGTTTGACTTACGATTTTTCAACTATGATGGTGTGAAAGCAATATGCGTTCAGTAGAAACCGTACCTTCAGGTACCCATACAATCATTCTGTTTTTTTGCTTTCAGTACAATATTCAATATTTACATGATATAAACACTTTATTATAAAATAGGCTTTGTGTTAGTTGGTTTTGCCCAACTGTAGGCTAACATAAGTGTTCTGAGTATATTTTAGGTAGCCTGGGCTAAGCTATCAAGTTTGGTATGTTCAGTGTATTAAATGCATTCTTGACTTGTGATATTTTCAATTTGCAATGGGTTTATTTGGACATAACCCCATTGTAAGTTGAGGAACATGTGTAGATACCATCAATTGTTCTTCAAAGCGGTTGTCCAGATTTGCATTCCCACCATAAGCTTTTAGGTTGTTCTACATCTTTATAACACTTAATATTGTCAGAATTAAATTGTAAATAATTATACTGGTGAGAAATGCTATTTCACTGTGGTCTCAATTTGCATTTCTCTGGTTATTGGTCACGTAGGACACCTTTTAATACGTTCACTGGCCAGATTGGCATGGAGATTATTATTCCTCAGTATGATCACTCCAATTTCTCAAACTCTATTACAGCTGACATAGAGATCCAAGCATCTGAAATTCTAAGATACGATATAGAAAATTTTCCAAAGTACGAAATTATTCCCTGAGTCATTTAAGTTATTTCTGGTTATCAAAATATGATTCTTGCCAACACTTTTATTGTGTCATTCTCAGTCGTGGCAGTCTCTCAGCTTCTCCCACTCTGGTATTTCTGGCTGTAGAAAGAATGACAATAAACCTTAAGTCATTGATGCTAAAGACAGGCTAAGTTAGGAGGAAACAATAGAACATTATGCTAACTAAGACTGACTAATAATAGCAAGATTTGAGGAACTCCAAAAAAGTCTAAGTTAACAATTCAAGTGTTCCAGTGCCATGCTAAGGGATGGAACCATGTACTTTTTACCATCTTTCTTCCCTTGTGAGGAATCTCTCCACAGAGCTCTCAGACTCTTTCCACTGCCAATGAGGAAACTTCCCCCAAAATACTTGCTATGTTTTCTAAAGAGGTAATGAGTAAAATTGTATCCTTTACAAATGTATCATCGGTTAATTATTTCCAGAAGAAGAAGCCATAAATTCCCCCCTGAATCTGTCTTTGGTGCTAAGTGGGTATGACTTTGAGCCCAGGAATACATTTTCTTCCCGTTCCATAATTTGAGTTACCATTTGCTGAGCTGTATTGCAATGTTCTGCCTGCACTGTTTTCCCCCTGTGATAGTCCAAGGAAAACATAGCTGATGTCAGTGATTGAATTTGTAATAGATTTGGGAAGATACAACCAATAGCCTTTTTGGGCAAAATGGTGTGGGTATCTATGTTCATATTACTTTGGAAAGGTTTTATTCCATAAATATTGAAAACCAAGGAGGAGGTCATTTGCTTCAACAGAAAATTGCTCTGTATCAGAGTCTTGACTATTTTGTTCAGTTGATTTCTTTATGGCTTGAGGCTCAGCTTTCTACCATTTCCTTTGGTGGAAAAATGTCTAAGTCTTAAAGAGATTAAAGCCTAGGAAAGGTTTCTTCACATTTGGACTGCATTGTCTTGTTTGTTATTCAGACCACCCTCGCCCTTTTGTTTCTACTTCTTAGATGTTTAGCAAACCTCACTCGTGAATATAACCAGACCACAGACATGATGCTTTAAAATAATGGATATGCTAGTTTGATAAGTGATATTGCTTTCTGTTGCGCCTATTTAGACACGTGTGTGCATGCATGTTTTGCACTTGTCCTGAGGTGAGTGAAACTGGAAGTAGTGTTTTCAAGATGGATTTTTCTCACCTATAATAGCAAGTTTCAAATGTCTTACTCTTTTTTATTTGTGGGACCAGCTCTTTAAATGTGCTTCTGGTCCTTTCTTGCCATGTGCTGTGCTGCAAACGTGCAGTGCTTTTGCTGTTCCACAGCTTGGGTCTCTTCAGATCTTACTGACTGATGCCGGCTGTTGTCTCCCCACAGGTTATCCAGGCTGTCTTTTTTGGCATCTGCGTGCTGACGGATCTTTCCAGTCTTCTGACCAGAGGAAGTGGGAACCAAGAGCAGGAGAGGCAACTCAAGAAGCTCATCTCTCTCCGCGACTGGATGTTAGCTGTGTTGGCCTTTCCTGTGGGGATTGTGAGTATGGTATAGAATATATTTAGCCACAAAAGAAACCTGAGTTTTATTTCAGACTTCTAAGAGAAAAAATAAGGCCTTATTATAGGAGGTTTCTGGATTAGTTTGCTAGCACTGCCAGTACCACAGACTGGGTGGCTTAAACAGCAGAAATGTATTTTCTCACAGTTCTGGAAGCTGGAAGTCCAAGATCAAGGTGTCAGCAGAGTTGTTTTCTTCTGAGTCCCCTCCCCTTGGCTTGCAGATGGGTGCCTCTCCTTACGTCCTCACACGGCCTTTTCTCTGTGCCAGCTGCCTCTGGTATCACTTCCGCTTCTGACAAGGTTAACAATCCTGTGGGGTTAGAGCCCCACACTTATGACCTCATTTAACCTTAATTACCTCTTTAAAAACCCTGTCTTCAAGTACAGTCACATTCTGAGGTTCTGGGGGTTAGGACTTCTGCATATGAACTTTGTGGGGGACACAGTTCAGTCCATAACAGTTTCTTAAGCAGCCCGAACTTGAAATGTTTGGTCCTTAAATCGACCATTCTAGTAGTGTTGAACTTGAGAGAGGAAATCAGTATTACCTCATGCTTCTTCACTTACCCAACTGTGCCATTAGCTAATATCACTTAAGTAAATGCCGCTTAATGTTTAGGTCTGTTCTGGCTTCATTGATTTTCGTTGTTTTCAGTTACATTCCCTCCATAGCTCAGCTTCCTTCACAAGTCTGTTAATTTTCCATCGTCTTCATATAAACCATGTTCCTTTAAAGGTCCTCTGAGACTCTATAGATTTTAAGCTGTGTATAGCCAGAAGAAGGATGAGAGAACTCTTGTCTATCTCAAATTGTGAGGATAAGTAAGAGTGTGTTACTTAATTCAAATTTATACTTTCATTTGCCAGCTGATTTCTGGGAAAAACAGAAGCCCCACTGATGTGGGCTAACACATAAACTAAGTCCAAGGTCCATTGTAGGAAGGGTCAGAAAGTCAGAAAGTTGTTCATAAATCCCTCCAGTGGCTCTTTGCCACGTCTGTAGGTGGCAGAGGCCCCTACATGCTGCTCTAAGACCCAGATTGTCACTGAATTGCTTTTTCTACGCACTGAGTTGTGTTTTCTTGGGCGAAATAGCCCTTAGCTCTTGAGAGCAAAACAGGGCCAGGGGAGCATTATAACCTGGCCACACTTCTCTTCTCATTCCTTCATCCTTGTCTTCTGAAAACCTAAGTAAATGGGTGCTCAGATTGAAGCCATCTAGCAAATCTCTCAAATTCTGTTGATTAACATAACAGAGTTAAATGCTTTACATATCATTTAATATTTCCTTCTTTGGATTTGCCTTATACAATTCAAATACTTTCTATCAGAATAGTCATCTAAGAAAAAAATTCCCATTGCATAAATTATAAAGATATACTTTCTGCATAAAAGAATTATCTAGAAAAGCTAAGTCTATATGTGTGTATAATCTTTTTTTACCCCATAAGGGTCCTTGCCTCCGGAAGTACTCATTAACTAGAAAGAATACAATAGTAATGCAGTAAAAAAGAAAACAAAAAAAAGCAAATAGGAATACAAGATTAGCATGTTTTTTCTTAGCTCTTCCTTTCGTGTTATGTGGTGTCAAATTGTTTCCCTACATGGAAATTCCAATTATGTTGTAAATCTTGCCACCCTCCTTAAAGACTCATTGCATATGCCTTTTAGGTATTTTTGACATCCTTTGAGGGAACTGTTTTGCACTTGCTTGAGACTTGAGGCATTTGTCAACTTTCAGTGTACTTCCTGAATTTAGCCCATGTATGCTTCATGGCTAGTAAAACGAGTGGTGGCCTTTTTGCTTGCTTATTTGTTTTATCACATCTGATATTTTCCTCCATATTTCACTATTTTTGATGTTTCACCTATGTTTTGGAAGAAGGGAGAAGAATAAAATTACCTTTCATCCCCAGCCACCCCCTTTTTAACCTGAAGTCACAGCCTCATACTTTCATGGCCTGTGTGTGCCCCTGCCCTGGTTGCTAAGTTCTGACAGCGGGACTGGCCCTCGGCCCTGCACCTGAGGCCCCCCAGTCACCCGGCACAAGAGGTGATCAGTGCTCTTTAAATTCATGGAAGAAACAAAAGAATAAACGAGGAATCAGAGTTGTGCATCCTGCTGATTTCTTTAACTCATTTTTTCTTGCTCACTAATATTTTGTAGTCAACTATTTCCATTTTCATAATCTTACCAGTTATTGTGAGTCACTTTCCCCTTTATAGTCACTAGCCTATTATTTTTTGTGAACATTTTGAAGTTACTTTCAAAGAAAGTTACATCCCCCCCCCCCCATATATTAAGAAGAATCTTGGTCAGTATTCTCTAGAACTCACTTTACGTTTTCCACTGTTTCTCCTGTTTCTATCTTATTCTGTTATTTGACTTTTTGTATCTATTATATTTACCCAATTTCCCGCCACGTTTCTCATTCTAATACACAGAAATTCATTATGAGGCAAAAAAAAAAAAAAACAAAAAAACCCTGGTTAATGGCTTCTCACCAGACCCCATTAATATTATTGCAAAGTCGTATTTACGGAGGATACAAACATGCCTCTGTATAAGCATTTTAACCCCCAGTTTTTTCTTCATCAAAACATTTTGTGATGTGTCACCTTTCTTTCTTTAAGGTTATTTCCCAACTTTCCTTTCCAATGTGCCTATGTCTTTGCTGTGACTTCAGAGACCTCCCCCTGTCCCTTCTGTACCTTTCTCCATTTTCCCCAGCTGCTCAGAAGGGTCTAGAATCCCACTGTAGTTTATTTTTTATAACTTTAGACTTTCTTCCTTAATAAAACATGAACCCTCCCTGGAGCAATGCCAGGAGGAATCACTTGAAGAAGCCTCGTTTTTACTCTTCTTGTGGCTCCTGGCCTGGAAGGGAGATGCCCAGGCTGGAGGGCTAATTACAGCAGAAGGATGGAATAGCATTAATACAACAGTTTTATTATTACACCTGTAGGAATCTGAAGCATAGAAATGCTTGTCATGTGTGCAAATGATTAATGATAACATTTATAAGTAAATGTTACCCTTTGCCATTTTGCCTGATGCAGTCAAAATCCTAAATGGCAAAACACCCAAGCACTCTCCTGTTCCAGGAGAGCACTGGGCGTGGCTTGAGCATCCTCAGGTGGAAAGTGCAGAGCTGGGCTCTGAAGCCCCTGTGTTCCCCTGAGGCCAGCCGGGCTCTGCCACCCTGACTGCTGGGGACTGCCAGCCTCGCAGAGTGTGTCCCTTGCTGCTATCTACTGGCTTCTTGTGCCTCACACTTTTGTTTGTCGGTCGGAAGTTTACTGGCAAAGCAATGTTACTTTTTGCTTCATGGTGCAGGCAAACTGGCAATGGTTGGGCATGAAAAGGGAGCCAAGAGCAGCAGCTGAATTCATCACCTCTGCTCAAATTTTCCTGAAGAGACCTCTTGGCCCCTGAGCTTCTCCTAGTGCTCCCATTAGCTTGCCCTCTCTCTCTCTCTCTCTCCAACTGCAACTGTGGCAGCAAAGAGACATGGGTGGGTTATCTAGGATTTGCATTTTCTACACTAATGCTTCCTCCAGTAACGAGGTTAATTGAGAGTTGACAGTAATTGCTTTATGTGAGCATGAAGCACTAAATATGATTTTGTGACCGACCCATGGACCTAATGCATCTACTTCATGGTCTCTCTTTTTCTCAAGGATATATAAAAATAATGAAACATTCCAATCAAAGATAATTGGAGTAAAGTTTTGTTTCAGCGTAACCTTGAAGAAATCAGGCAGGGTTGCTGGAGTGAGCATGGCATGTATCATCCTGATTCGCGTAGATTCCCATAAATGCAAAGCTGGCCTTGATTAGTAACGCTAATGGCCGGAAACCACCACCACTCCCAAAGCCTTGCAACTCATTTTGCAGGGATAACCCATGGGAGGCTCTTCTTACTATGCGTAGTTTATTTCTGAACCCTGTCACCCTTTTAAAGAAGCATTACAAATAATTCTATGACATTATGTGGTCTGGAAGCACTGAAGTTTATTAGGAGCAATCAAACCAAGAATGTCTTTTGTCTCCTGTGAGTTTGTTGACTTTTGTGCTGGCAGATACCATTATAGTTAAGACACTAGGCTTAGGCTTTTAACCAAAAAAAAAAAAAAAAAAAAAAAAAAGAATCTGATGAGTATGAAAGTGTCCCTCTCAGAAACCCTGTATTTCCAACTGCTATCCACAGTAGCCCTTTAATAAAAAAGAACAGTTATTTTTTTTTTTTATTAATTCAGGTCTATATATCCTATTCATTTACCACTGCTCAGCTTGAATAATGGACGTAATCAAACCTCATCACCTCCCCAGTACACTTTTGTCCTGGTATTGCTTTGGTTGCTCTAGCCCAGCTGCTGCCCTGGTGCATCCCAGTGTGAAGATGAAGATGTCCCTTTCTGAGTGGCCTGAGGAGGCCCTCGAGGTTTGGGTCTGTTTTCATCCAGGGTGAGTGTCCAGAGTGTCAGGATCAAACTAGTACATGCCCGTATAAACTTTTCTGAAATTTGGCCTTCTTATCTGATTTTAGTCTCAAAACTATTTGTTAAGTAATCATTTCTGGTGTTATAATTATGTCTTACAAAGACTTGGAGAAGATTTTATATGTACCAACCTATTCTAGAATCCTTTAAAACTTGTGTTTACTTGTAATGGGAACTATATGGTATTAATACCTGCTTTCTTAGGAAAGGTATGGCAAATGGAATTTAAAATCTCAAATGCAAACTCAAAGAAAAAGTTTTGAAAACAATTATAATTGTTTTCAAAAAGTGATTCCCAAAAGTCTCCATTTATTGACGTACTAGCTAATTCTAAGTTATCTTTAGGGAAAATTTTGAGATGCAAATAAATTTAGATTGTCATACCCCTACAATTTAAAAAACATTATTTTCATTACTAATTTTTAAATGAAAGAGATCGGCTTAAATGGAAAACAAGCATATTAATTAATATTA